TTTATGTGACTCAAATATAAAACAATTTTTATTCCAGCCACCCAGCCCACCCCTTTCGCATCATTTTTCCTGCTTTTCCTTCTGTATGCGATATTTTGCACAATTTCTGTGGATGCAGCATGCATTGAAAATTCTCCCAGGAGCCCAACAGCCGGGAAGAAGTACGGGTACTGCCACTGCCACTGGCACTGCCACAGCTACTGAAATTGGAGATTGGGGATTGGGGATTGGGGATTGCGAGAGAGAACAAGTCGAAATTCGTGTGCATTGTGCATGCTTAATTGAGTTGTCCTCGCCTCCCTATGTATGAGCGGAAGTGGGCGCGGACACACGTGCCTCTCCATGTGTCCCTGTGTGCCTGAGTGTGTGTGTGTGTGTGTCAAACAGTTTATCGAGACACCCCGAGCACCGGTTCCAGTCCCAATTCCAATTCCAATTCCATCCCCCATCCCACCCCATCTTCAGTCCCAATCCCAGTAAACACCCTACGAATTCAGCCCTACGAATCGTCCTCGGTCCGTAAATCGCGCACATCGCTTCAGTTGATTTCCATGTCACTGACAAAACACATTTTGCTTTCGCCTTTTGTGTACATTGGTAAATGCTGCATGGGGGCATCGAATATAGCCCATAGAACACACATAGTGCCACACGGGGAGGCGGAAGGGCAGATACGAATATGTGTACGTACATGTGTGTACACATGTCCCAAGGAAGGGTCAGGATGGGACATTTAAATTGGTCGACAGGCCAGCAAATAACATGCAGAAGATGACATCTATTCTAAGGATTCCCCAATCTATTGGAGAGTGAAAACAGGGCGTGGGAGTGGTAAATCTATTCCGAGTGTTTCGACTATGAATTTAAGGTCTTTTTCTACATATCAGACATCCCATATTCGGTCACTAATTTAAGAATAATCCAACTCAAACAACTGCGGAATTCCACCCTTGTACGAGTACTGTCTATAGTAACATACGGGAATACAAATAAAAGGGTTCCAGGGTTGAGGTTCTTTTGAGAACCTCGGAGAACTATTGTTCAATATATGGAAAAACTCTGACTGGATTCAGGACACTCGTATGGGATTCGATGTTGTTCAAGGCTGAAGGCTGACGGCTGAAGTTTCATTCGTATTCATTAAAGCCCATGGGCGAGACAAAGTTTCCTTCGCTCGTTTCGAAACTTAAGAGCGAGTGAGTGCCATTAGGAGGCGGGCCAGAGAGGGGCGAGTGCGAAAACTATTTTTATTAATTTTACAAATGAACACTTGGCTCTCCAATTCGATGCGGCTTGAGCCGGAGCACCTCCTCCTTCTCCTTCTCCTCTCCATCGTCATCGTCATCATTTTCCTCGTTGGCCGTCGTTAGGAGAGAAAGTTTACCAATCCGCAAAAATGATTCCCGACGCTGATAATACGACTGACATTGGGGCCAGAGGGTCTCACGGATGGGGGAATTGGGTTTTGGGGTTGCGTTTGGTTAAAGACGGCGCCACAGAAATCGCTCGGTTCAATTTTGTTGGGTGGAGGATGGATGGTGGAGGGTGGAGGGAGGAGGGAGGACTAAAGTTTTCACTACTTTGGTTTTAATTTCCCAAATTGCATTTGGCGGCGTTATTTATTCAATCCACTTGCTGCTTTCAACGGGAATTGGCCGTAACGATGATGCCAACAAGGAGCACGATGCCGCAAAGGAGCACGTGGCAGCGGGTGGCAGCGGGTGGCAGCAGGTGGATCGGGTGGCAGTGGCAGTGGCTTTCCTGGCGACAAAACTCGTTTATTAACACGATTCTCGGTGCAGTGCGGCGTGCTGCCATATAAAATACTTGGCTGCCATCTACGAGTACCGATGTCACTTCTCCTCCATAGTTCCAGCCCTCTTTCCCCCACTCCCCCTTAGCCCACACAGCTCTAATCGATTTTTGATGAGATTTTTGTATTCAATTTTGGTTTTGATAGGCAACGACGACGAACGCATCCCGATTACGAGTACGGAGTGCTAAACCGGGGTGGGGTGCTCGAGGGAGGCGTCCTGGATCTGGGCCAGAGGATGGGGTTTTGTGGGGGCATTGCAGGTACGGTGTACAGCAGTGTTGGTAAGGATTCAGTTAACGGAAGGGGCTTGACGGTCTGTTTGACTGGAACGCGGCAAAAGCTGGCGATAATGGCATCAGCAGAAGCACCGAAAAGGAAATGGAGGAGCAGCTGGAGGCACCAGTTAGACGGCGAGTGGAAACAGTGGAGCTTGAAGGAGGTTCAGAGTCATAACCCGACCAGGACAACGATGCCATTGACATAATTTTCCACGGCTTTTGTTTGGATTGCCAATGGCTGTTACAGCTAAGAGGTGGCGATACAGAGAGGGCCTGCTTATGGAGGAGTGCAAGGCACAACGGGGCAGACTACAATGAGAGTCTAAGAGCTGCTGAGAGGCATGGGTGGCATGGGTGGCACGGACGGCGTGGGAGGCTTGGTTTTCCCTCCCCGCCCTCTGGTGCTTAAGTAAAAGTAAACGGTTTTCCCTTGTTTGGCTTTCATTTGGTTGGAAATTGAGCGTTCGAGTTGATTTACGCAGTGGCTCTCATAACTGGTCTAAGGTTTCCCCGCCAGATGACAGCCTCTGCCTCCCTTTTCCGCCGGCAGCAGCCCACTAATGTACTCCAAGCCATGGAAACTGTTGGCAGTGCATTTCCATGCATTTTCTGTGGGTTAGTCACGTGGATGACTGCCGTCTTGGAACGTAATCGTTGATCTCACTCTCCCATTTCTCCCATTGTGTTTTCCCTTCTTCTCCGCGTCTCTTTCTTCTTGGCCCTCATGAATTTGGGTGTCAAATTCTTTGGTTTTTGCATTCGTAGGAATCGTACGAGTAAAGCGAGATAATCACAGCAGCAGCAACGACAGCATCGCATTGACTGTCTGATTCAGCCTGCAGCTACTGCTCCTCCTATCGCTTGTCTCTGCTGCTCCTGCCTCACGCCTCACGCCTCCTGCCACATGCCTCTTGCCTTCTGCTGCTTTCTCTTTTCATCCTCATTGAAATTGGCAATTTCGTTTTCATTGAACGCTGACGAAATGCATTTCCTGAAATGAACAGCGACAAGGACGAGCAGCAGAGCCATAGATGGCCCAGGAGGAGGATGGACCAGGATCAGGCACGGAGAGGATGTGCACATGGCGACGGCGACAGCGCCTGGCACAGAAACCAAATGGAGCGAGATGCCAGCAGGGACTCACCCAGGCCAAAGGGAGAAGTAGAGGTACGGGTGGTGGCATAGGGAGCCGGAGAGTGGTGGCTTTGCGAAATGTCAAACGTTGCCGCAAGGACGACAGCCGGAAGTGCAGCATGGCCACTGGGCAATGCCCCAAGCTCTAAGGTGGCATGTGGGAGGGGCCATGGGAGCCTGGGGCTTGGATGGGCCATGGGCCACTATGTCGCATGCCATGCACAATAAGTTTAATATATTGGCATTGACTTAAGCCCTGGCCAGGTGCTCCTCAGCAGCAGGTGAACCAGGTCCAGTGCATGAGACGCCCAACGTATGCCCTGCCTTTGCCTCTGCCTTTGAGTAGGAGATGGAAAAAGACAGAGGCAGAGACAGAGAGAGAAAGAGGATTGTCAAGGACTGTGCCACGCCTGTTTGTGTCCGTTGCAGCTGATTAAGACATCCTGGCCAATCCTCTGGCACCTGTGACAAGCGTCTGAAGGAGCACTTTAATTTGTGTCCTCTCACTCGGACACTCGGATCCCCGAACTATCAATGGGTCAAGCCAGAGGAAGGATGCCTTCTTCTTTAGAAAGAACTCTACGCTTCGAAAATCTGAGCAGATAAGTGGCTTCTCTAAACGAGTCTGAATCCAATTGGCACTGGGCCTCGTCAGGATGAATTTTGATCGGGTTTTATTGGGTCTATTATGCTGTTGTGCAAATGGGACTCGATCTGGTTGGATTTACATACTTGAGCGCCAGAGTGCGCGGCTTCCTTGTAGTCCTTTTCATATGTTGACAGAACCACATTACAAGTTGGATAAATATTTGCGTCTGTCGAAGGCAGAACAGCATTTTCGCATATGTCTAAGTAGAGCCGCAGCCCTTGCCGCGGCTCACAACGTTCCCGCTCGTTTCTCTTATGCTTCTGTGTATTTTCGGGTGTTTTTGGGTTTTGTTTCATAATTCTGATTGATATCTTGCTTAAGTATTAGGTCTTAGTGCGACGTCCTATTAGGTGATTCGATGATTGGTGTAAGCGGGCTTTGTTCTCTTGGATGTTGAGTAAATTCGACTTTGACCGGATTTGATTGGAAACGGGTGTTGGGCACAATTATGTAATGTGCCAGCAGGCCTGAGTGGCTCCGATGAATATGGTTTGTGGTGTGTTATATAATTAATATAGCCATCGCTTCAGTTAGTCAAATCAACCAATTAAGAAGATTTCAACTTTCAACGGCAGACATTATCGTCGATGGTCGTATGAGATTTATACCCTTCTCGACGGCTTCAAGTGTTCACCTTTAGTGCGGCTGATTTCCCGAAGGGAAACTTTAATTTACCCTCAGTTTGGGAGCCACAACAAAACTTTTCTCGATTTACGTGTATACTCAAACAATGTCCGCTAATCTTTTGCCCGGAGAGAGGGCGGAGAGGCGGCTGCAGAGATTTGTGTAACTCTACTCGAACTGCAAGCCTCGTCCCCGCTCCATTTCTCTGGCAAACTGACCTCAAAACTATATCGAAACTTTTCGCTGCCAGTTGCTGTTGCCGTTGCCGTTGTTGTTGCTGGAGCTGCAGCTGGAGGACAATCTCTGTTATCCGTTCGATGTTGCAGCTCCCTCCAAAACTTTGTTTTGCACACACACAGCCGAGAGAATGCAACAAATCAACTAGAAGATAGCAGATACTTTTCCGATTCGCCCCCAGTCCCAATAACCAATACTCCCCCCGTTGCCCAGGCCGTTGTTTGCCTTTTGGGGTAGTCCGTACTCGATGATTGAAACTTACCGAAAGTCCTCGAATTACAACATGAAACAGGTCGATGCCGTAGACACCTGTAAGGAGAAGAGAGGGAGAGCCATTAGTTGAGGGTTCTTGACAAGGCTGTCAATTCATTATACTCGTATACTCCCAGACCCAGCCCCAGACCCAGGCCCAGGCACAGGCACAGCCCCTCAGGGTATTAATGATGCAACTGTCAAAGTTTTTCGAAGTCGAGACTGTACGGGACTGTACTGCCGCCTCATTAGCAGGTACAGTTGCCGCAGTTGCCACAGTTGCTGGTGCTGCTGGTCTTTAGCTCCTTTCGCAACTGTTTCTTCCTTTTATTTTTGGTAAATTGAAAGGAATTAATGACAGCTCTCTTCCTGCCTCTCTTTCGCTTTCACAGCGTTCAGTGGTTCGTGAGGTATTGGGCGGGGAGCGGGGGAGAGGTGTGGGACGTGTTGCCACCACGTCAAAGACATGCCAAACATATCACGTAAAACATTAAAATGTTGCCAATGGAAATACTCCTGGAATCCGGACAACAGAACGCCAGAATGGAAGCGAAACGAGCAGCAGCAAGAGATTGTTGGGTGCACAAGAAAAGAGCTCCACAGAAAATGCAAAAAATAACGCAGAAAATCAAATAAAATGAACGAAATGAGTGGAGGTCGAGTGGTGTAGCGTGGGATGAATGGCAAAGAAAACAATTAAAAGAATTTATTGCTCGAGTTTAATGAATTTTCAGCTTGTTTGCACGCACACACACACACACACACACATAACTAGAGGGCTGGCTGGTAGAGGGGCTCCCTAAAGGGAGTGGAAGTGGGAGTGGATGGATGCCAGCTCAGCAGTTTGTCCATTTCCATTTCCATTTCCATTGAATGCTTGATAGGGTTCGGGATGGTAAAGTGTCTGCATGGGTGCTTCAATGCTTGGGGGATGCCTAAAAAGCGAGATGCCACAGGTGTAAAATGCCTATAAATCTTTCCCTCTTTCCTGACTCCCCTTCCCCAACCCCCTCGTGTGTGTGTGTGTGTGTTCCAGGTACTCTGTGTATGAGAATGAATGTTATTGTTGCATGGCTTAATGAAGTTTTTGTTTCTCCCTCGTCCTCGCCCTCTCCCTTTCGTTCTCCATTCCTGTTCATCTTCCGCTCATTTTTGCCTTGGATTAGAACAGCTGCTTAGACCGAAATTGATGTGGAGCCCAATCCAGAGATGAGACCCCTGCCAGATGGCGCTACTGTCTGCCACACGTGGCCGTGGCGCGGTCGGGGTCGGGACCGGGGCATTTTCGGAAATCATTTTAAACGGCTCTGATAAAATGCTTTTGCTTTGCATTTTTTCCTGGCCTCACTCCAAGCGGAATTTATTTGCGTTTAGGCAATTAACAAAGTTTGGGATTCCAGGTTTCAACCAGGGGGAGGAGGGGGTTTCTTGGAATTATGAAATAAATTATAAAATGTTTTTGCTCAGTGAAATCTACCATTTGGGGCCTTAACTGTATGATATGAATATCAGTTAAGGATTTATTCATTCGACATGTATTTGACACACCGATACTTGTAATATGTAGTATATCCTTTAAGTTTACTCGTATTTCTAAGTAAGATTTATTCTGAGCCATGGCTCTCCATACGGAACAATACCGTTTTCGTGACTAAGTATTGTCGGTCCTAGTGGGGCATGGCCAGACAGCGAAAGAGGATGAAAAGTGGAAGGGGAGCGGAGGGGAGCATGAGGTCAGGCAGCCTCTTGGCTTCAATTATGAAACAATAAACAATTTGCTTTGTTTTTTTTTCTGTTTGTTTCTTTTACTCTTACCACCATCCCTCGCTCTTTCTCTTTCTCTTTCCTTTTCCACATCTGTCGCTGTCCCTCTTTTCATACATAAGTATTTCTGTATCCCTCTTTGTTACCAACGCTCTATCGCTGTCGTTTTTCTGCCCGGCGGCTGCTGTAAATTGGCAGCAACACCTCCCATTTCATTTCATTCCATCGCTGTACGTACCGTTCCCATCCGTTCCACACCATTCCGTTCCAGCCTCTTCAGAACCCACGTTGTCATCGCCATTTCGCCGGAAGCGGATGTTTGATAAATTCTTTGTGTCATTTTGTGTTTCATTTTTATTTTCGTGTTTTTTTTTCCTTTCTTTTTTTCGTTGGCTGCCATGATAACCATCCCCCATCGTGCCCCTGGGTGCTCTGGGCTCATGCAAAATATTTTAATTTAGTTTGGTTTGGTTTTGTGTATCTCTTTATCGTTTTTCCATGTTTTTACAGGGTTTTTTTTTTGTTGTTTGTTGTTTGTTGTTTTTGTCAGCTAAACCCAATTTGACGGGTCACCCACTTCGGTGTCCTCTCTGCAGTACAGTCCTCCCCGAAAGAAAAGTTAATTTATCGCAACATCGTGGCCCTGCCACCAAATAGTTGCATTGCTTATAGATTAGCCACCGAGGGAGCTTGCCCCCCGTAGCTCCACTGTCCATTATCCAGCAGGTGTGTGTGCCGCCTGCACAATCCGCAGTGGAAGGGAGAACTCGAGATCTCGAGACTTGGGCCAAAAAGTTTACGCAGTATGGATTCAGGCCAAAGGCAAAAGTCAATTTGCCAAGGTTGTCTGGTCTTAGCCCAATATAAAAGAGGGAAAGAAACCGTCGGAGATGGTCGTAAATCTTGGAAATTGGCACTGGCCACTGGTCACTGGCCGCTTGTGGGGGGCCCCGCTCTGGCCTCGGGCCAGACCCTTTCGAAGGCCTTAAAAATTCATTTGTCGGAGTTGAAAAATTGAACGATTCTCGATTTGGAGTTGGACTCCAAATTGGTTTGGGTGCGGATGCCGATGTGAAGGGGGAGAACTCTTAAGGCCAGTGGAAATTGCAATCTGCTGACAGCTCGGAGTAATCGGTGGAGGAGAAGCAAGCAGCAGGACGCTTCGACTCCATTGTCCTGGGCTGTATTGTGTCCCGTTATCGCAGTTTGCTCAGGCAACGATGAGGTCAGGATATTAAGGATTAATTTATGCAACGATTTCTTTGCGCAACGTGTTTATCAAGAGTCCCCCACAACAATATTGCTGGGTACCCAGTATCGCCCAAACTCACACAGAAATTGAGAAGTGTCCGGGACAGGATCCATGGCGAAGGGAGCTCAATTAACCGGACGATGGAGCGCCCCAGCACTCGCTCTCCGATTCCAAAAACTGCCACTGCTGGATGCTCCATTTTTCTTGCTTAAATCTACTAGAATCAGCCACAAAAAACTCCAAAATCGAACTTCAATTCATGTCAGAGGATGTCAACAGTCAGAAAGAGAGAGAGAGAGAGAGAGAGAGAGAGAGAGAGAGAGAGAGAGGCTGAGCGGAAGATGGGTCACATCGAAGCATCCGGTTACCCTGCCGCAGAAGGTTTGCTCGTTTGGGCAATTGAGACAGCTCTGGGCATAATGTTTCCAGTCTATACACTTTATTATCCACTTCAGAAACATAATAAATAGCAGTTGAACAGGTTCTGGTGAGATTCATGACCAATAAAATTACTGAACGGAAGTAAAGATTGCCATATTTCGAATAAGGAACAGTTCAACATTCTTTACATATTTATTCAGGGAAAAGTTTCCCCTCTGGGATACGTTCTAAGATCTTTTCTCCTATAGAAGATGTAGTCTCCTTAGTTAGGGCATCCGAAATGGCAGCCAAAACTGGGGACAGTTGGTAATTTGCCCTATATTTTGTCATAGAGAGAGATGAAGCAATAGAAAGAGAGGCAGAGAGAGACAGAGACAGAGAGAGAAAGAGAGTGAAATGCATATGGCATAAAGGCTGACTGCCTGGATGGATGCCGGGCTGGTTCGGTTGGTTGGTTGGTTGGCTGCTCCCACAGCTCCCACGAGTGCTGGGATCAGGGAGCTGACACTGGGAGCTGGACGAGAGAGGAGATAGCATTTCACTCAAGTGAACTGGGGCGCAACAAAACACGAGAGTCGGGCTGCTATTGCCGTTGCACTGTTGCACTGTTGCAAGTGAGAATGCATCATTAGTGCAGGAAACCGACAAGCGGCAGACGAACAGACAGACCGACAGACCGACAGACACAACCAACTGCGAAATGGGAATATTCGTACCATATTCGCGCACGAATCAGAGAAGGACGATGCATAGAGCGGGTCTGGGTTCGGGATACGAGACGCCACCAGACGGGGCAAGACAAGCGAAACCATGTGGCAAATGAGGCTAAAACACAAGTGAAGCCAGGCACAACCAGAGACGTCGCCAGCCATCATCATCATCATCGTCCTCATCCTCATCCTCGCAGAGTGGCAGTGATGGATGGATGGATGGATGGATGAAGGCAATGGATGCATCCAAGCAGTCAACGTTCCCTCCCATGTCGTGGCATTGATATCCGACACTGGAAGAGCGGTTTACGGTATAGGCTTGCAATCGTTGAGAGGAACGGCACAGATTTGGGGCTCAGGGCCTACTCTTACGAGTCCAATTTTCCAACACTAAACACAGTAGAATGCAATGCTTTCCCAACCGAGTCACCTCTGACATTTGTGAGTACACAATGCATTAACCAAGTAACCAACCACCCTGCCCTCATTTTTTCCCATTCAAGGTCTCAAGGTCAATCCCCAAGAAATATATTTGGGGCTCTGGGGAAGATGAGGTAGAGCGCCCTACAGTTCGCTACTATCTTCTCCAATGCGGCTTCTTTAAGATCCCGCATCTGGTGATCCGTCCTGCCCCTCAACACCCCTCCGACCAGCCCAGCCAGATCTGTGCTGTGCTGTTGGTGGAAGGGATCCAAAGCGATACATCCACTGATACATGTCTGGCATTCCAAGTTGCAGTTAAAGAAGAGGGACATATGTATGATCACTTTCTGCAGTATCCTTACTATGGCGTCGTTCCATAGATCCATCCCCGCAGAGGGTATCCATTATCCATGCACCCTGCGTCCAAAATCTCTCCAATTCCATCCCATCACAAGCCCATAAACAACTGAAAAAGTGTGGCCGAGAGTGCGAGAACACAGAAACAGTTCAAGTGCCTACTTTTGGCGTACCAAAGCACTTAACAGTGTAACAGCTAACCCTGGGACTCCCCCTCCATCGTTCCACCATCCACCATCTATCATCCACCTCGCCTTGAGGCACCACCCACTACCCCTCGCAGCTCTCTCTATGTTCTCCTTCCTATCCCCTCTGTCATGCCACATCGCATCTAGCCGCGATTTTCGCAATGAGTTTCACTTAACTTTTGCGTCACTTAAATGTAATTTGTGCAACTTTTTGGCGCAGCCTTTTCCCCTTCTGTATATCTGTGTCTGTGTCTGTGTGTGTGTGTGGGTGTGTGTGTTGCCGTTGTTGCACATTCGATCGCATTCGCTGGAGGCATCGCTTCGTTCGGCACTTTTGAGTGCATTTCACTGTAATCAAGCGCCCACTTCAAGCCCTGCCCACTCCCCGTCCCTCTCTCTGGCCCCCACGCTGCTCCTTGCAACAAGCCCTGGCACTGGTGTTGCATTTCATGCATTTTAGCATTTCATCATTTGTGGCAAGCTTTTGCCTGCCAACAACAAAACCCATTTTCATACCCAGTGCCCGTCGAGGGCGTATTCGTGTGGATGTACGCTACCAGCGAGAGAAAGAAGCATTTTCACACTACCGACATGGCTCTGAGCAGGGTCACCACTGGAAGAGTTCATCTCTTTGCCTTTCATTACGATCCCCCGACTATTTCGACCCAAAAGTATCCGTAAGCCATAGGACTGTGCATGAATCTGATTGGGATTGGGGTATCTGCTGGTCGGAGGACTCCACTGCAACTACTTGTTTTTCCATCTCGATTGTGAGATTTTGAGATTTCGAGAGGGTGTGCGGATTGGCGTCAAAGTCCCTCCACTCACCCCACTTGCCGTGCAGGGCGCCCCGTGCAGGAGGGGCCTTTTAATGCAGCCGCTTAGCGCGCGTGTTGCACTTGGCTCGAAGAGAGCTGTTGCCGTTGTTGGTGCTGTCGTTTTGTTCTGCTGTTGGCAACAATACCAGTATATTCATTATTTATTTCACTGACCCAGTTTCCGGCTGGTCCATGCCAGGTCCAGTCAGGCCTTGAGTTCGGTCCTATGACCGGCAGGCCTTGAACAAAGGCTCACCTCACTTCAGACTTGTCTGTCTGGCAATCGACAACAAACTTCACAGTTCATACCAGATATACAACATACTACAAGTATTCAAAACACCGACAATGGACCGGGACCCTTTAAAAGACGTTACCAACTTGCAGGAGGCTAAAAGGAAGAACCCAGTGATTCTATCAGACATGGAAAGCCATCAATCAGATGGCCCAGTATTCGAAATTGCAAGCTGCTTCGAAGTCTTTCGAGGATCAGCTTACTGATGGGCAGGCGACAGAGTGAGTACCATCTGGAGAAGGGACTAGATCGTAATGAGTCATGTCATGGTCCCTCAACTTCTTCCACAGCTTAGCCATGGCCCTGGCGCTGGCCCAACCTCAGCCCCAGGCCAATGCCAAGGCCAAGGCGAATGGTGGGGACCAGTCTGAGGAGTACTCCGATGCCGATCCCTCCCAAAACGCCAACTCTTGGCGCTGCGTCATTTGTTGAGCCAAAGCCCGCTCTATCTTCAATTTTAGATGTTCATGTATTTTTTGAATGCTACAGATTTCACACGGCACACAGAACACAGAAACACACCACACAAGACCGGCAGCCAGCGAATAAACAGACTGTCAGCATCGGATTCTCTGTTTTGGTTTGGGATCTTCGAAGTTCTTCGAAGCGTGGGAACATTTAAGGCTCTGTAGCCTTCAATTAGTAGTGCCACATGCCACAGATGGTCCTCGTTCGTTGATCAGAGCTGTCCGTGAAAACGGATCAAAATTCAGGAAGTATCTAGTAGGAGAGATCTACGGACAGCAGAGCCACTTCTTGGAATTTCACCTCGGGGTTTTCAAACCTCTTCCCGTCGTCGGCATGAAATGCCTTTTACTGCAACCGATCAGCGAGGAGCTTGTGGTTCTTCTGTTGGCCACAACACGAGTATTCAGTATTAATTTATTTCACTGGCCCGACTTCCACCTGGTCCATGCCGTGACCCGATTACAGGGTCCGGGTCGTCAGGGTCTGGGCAGGCCTTGAATCGGATAGACGATTCATTTGTCACAAAAACACTCTCCAAACGAACAAAAAAGATCCAATAGAAAAAATATTCAGTACAATGAATCGGAATCCTCAGGTATGCAGTGCGCGTGTAGGCCAAGAGGTTCTCCTAGATGCGGAAGAATCAGAGTTGGTTCGTTGTCGGGACACAGCTGTTTGCCCATACGTGGAAAACTCCGAGTTGGCTCGCGATAAGACCCCGGAGAGCCCCCTGGAAATATCTCCACACTCGAACAATCCAGAGATTTCCGAGAAGCTTCAGAACTCAATGTCGGGATCCGGAAAGAGCACAGCCAATGGCCCAGACGAGGACGACTCACAGCTGGTTTGCAATTCACAGCTGGGGTCGGATGAGGACCTAAGCATTGGCCCATCCGAGGACGACGAAGACGACGCCGACGACGCCGGCGACGCCGACGACGAGGATGACGACGAGGACGACTACCAGTCGGGCGTACAGATCATAGAGATCCTTAAGACTCCCAGGGGAGTCGTAAAAGTGACCCGCGTTAGATCTGAGATCAATATGCGAAAGAAGCGTTGGGAGGACAAACTGAACGCCTACAAGGGACTGGTGGAACGCAACCACGAGCTGCACGCGATCTACGAGGAGAACCGACTAGCAGTAGCCGCAGGGGTAAGTGCTTCTTCGGCTTGTCCTCCTGAAACCCATCTAAAGCCAGGGAGCCTTCCTGCAGCTGGCTGAGGTTACCAGAGAAATGGACGAGTTGGGCTGCTGGCCCGAAGATGTCCCGGAGGGTCCAGGGGACGGCGCGGTTGGGAACGAAATGGCGTAAGTTTCATCAAAAGAGAACTGAGAGAGAGAGAGAGAGAGACTGAATTGAAATGTTTAATCCTTTATCAGACTGGTCGAGGCAGATGAAAAGCTGAAATCATTCCGAGATATGTGCACTATTTGTTGAGCCATGAGCTCACTCTATATCCTCCCGGGGTGTTTATATATTTGTTAATGTTGCATTGAGCTTAAGACACACACACAAGACACTCCTTTAGGACAGCAATAAACTCATGCAAAACAAATCACATCTCATTGGATTGGACGGTAGATAGTAGGTTCGATGGGCTTAAAACGACGATACCGAACACCGTCAAGGGATGGAACAGAGTTGAAGTCCATCCCCGACAACGTTGGGCAGTAATCGGAAGAACAAGTTGGAGTTCTAGAGGAGGCTTTCATGGCAAATGGGAGAGAATCCCAGCCGGGCAACAATCCCAGTGCCATGACAATTCTGCCGCCCCGGACAAGCAATCAGGTTCTTCCTGGGACAATTACAAAAATTTAGATTATGGTTTTTTGTTAGCCACAAACAATGCAGCTTAAACGGGGCGAGAGGCCAGGGGCAAGGCGCTGATTGACAGGAAACAACGCCAACAAGTTGTTGGCTGTTGGGGCCACAAACAAAGGGAGGCGGCGCCCGAGCTGTGGCTGTGGATGGGGCAGGAGCAGGACCACGAGCACGAGCAGGAGCAGGAGCAGGAGAGAAGCATCTGCTGAGCGAAATGGGGATGAATTAACTTGCATTGTGCCGCCGCAGACAAAGCCCGAATCGGGCAAAAGCTGGGGGCAGGATAGAGGGACACAGAGAGTCAGAGACAGAGACAGAGATGGAGATGGAGATGGAGCAAGCTGGCGGTGCAACTTATGCAACGAAATGTTCGCCGCCGTCCGCTGCCATTGTGCGGCGGCATTTAAAAGCTACGTCCTGCTGCCCTGCCCGTGCCCCTGCCACAGAGCCATCTCCTGTGCCAGTTCCTGCGGAAGTCCGCACAGGCTTGCAGACAAAGTTCTCCTTTTATGCCAGGTAATCCAAAGTTCAAGGCTATGTGGCATTTGTGCGTAGAATTTTCTACACTCTGGACATCCTGGACGATCTGCGAAGATGTGGTTGCACCATAAGTTTCCCTTGCTATTAAATCCGCAAAAATGTGTCTTCATCCTATAATGAATCGCCGAAAATGGAACTCGAGCCCCGCATTACTTTCAGGCTGCTCGTAGCAGGTAACTTTTCAGTCGGAACACTCGACTGTAACCTTGGTGCAATGCAGCCGCTTTGTTGAGATAGTCCGAGTGAAAGACCTACCATTGGCCACTCCACTGCACCGTTGCCTGCCCCGTCCCACTCCTCCCGGCAAGCACTCTTCTCTCAATAGCTTTTCACTCGTCTGGACCGGACTGGCGTAGAGGCACGCGCAGGAGATGCAGAGAGCAGCTCCAGCTGTTGGTGTTGTTGCCGCTGTTGTACGGAAAACACTACAAGCGTAATAGTGGCAAGAGCAACAGCGAAAACAACAACAACAAAATTTGCGAGAACAACGGCTGGAACAACAATGAGCGGCTGCTTCTGCCTCTGCCTCTGCCTCGGCCTCTGCCTCAACGTCGCTGCCATGTTGCAAAAGTAATTCAATTTGACTTTTTGTTTTGATGCTGCCGAGTGGCACACGGCACGGCACAGGGGATGAGGATCTGCTGCTCAGGGGATTGCCAATAGCCGAGCAAGAACAACGGGAACTGGGAAACTTTTTTCCGAGGGCGTGGCTGAAGAGGCCTGACCATGACTGTGCATAAACTGCACTCTGCAGCAGCCGACAGTGGCAGTGGCGGCAGCTCCAGTGGCCAAGAGCAAGAGCGTCAATTGATTTAGCCATTGAGTTATTACCAAGTTGGCAGTCCTCGCCCCAAGGCAGCCATTTTTTCTTCTACCTCGTTCTCCGCCACTTCCACTTCCACTTCCACTTCCACATCCTCTTGGTCCACGAGTATGCCTCCTCCTATCACGTCGCTTTCGTGATGCTTCTATCATCATCATCGCTCTCTCTCTCTCTCTCTCTATCCAAAGTTCGTGCCGCGTGGACTCGCGGGTGCGCTTGAAAGGTCATTTAAGAGGCTAAACAAATTACAGTGACAGTGACAGCCGGAGCTTTACGCCTGAGAGCCCCAAGGTGGCCGGAGTGGGGCGCTTGGGAGGAGAGGGAGTCTTTCACGTGGCTTAACCGATTGCCACTCAACTTTCGGTAAAGCTTTGAGGCTTCTGTACTCATGGAAAGTGAAAAATGTGTGAGAGTGTCTGACGGGAAAGTGGTATTGGGGAAAAGGTTCTACTGGACAGCAAAGGGGTATAGAGCCAGAATGGATGGAATGGTGAACCGCTGGCAGGATCATTTCCTTGCGTGTTTCCACAGCTTGAACTGATCCCCAGTATCAACTCGATTTGATTGTAGCTCTTGATGGGCCCAGAGGCGCCACAAAACCGCAGTAAAATTAAGACTTGAGGCTACACATTCGCTTTGAAATGCTATCCACTGCATGAACCAAAACCATGCCATGCAAATACTCAGTCATCCCCATCCACCACCCCCTCCGGGCGGCAGAGGAGCAGACTTAATGGCATCCATATGATGCCGTTCTCGCATACAGTCCATAACGCCCAGGCAAATCACAGCTGGCTCCATATTAATTAAATAATAATTTCAGCAATTTGATTTTGATTGCATTTACTCATCCGCCCGCAGCCCGCAGCCCGCAGCCCGCAACCGCCTTGGCCCCTTTGTCCCTGCGTGTATCTCAGAGAGAGCTCTGGGCAAATGGCCTGGAAGCCACAAAAGGACTGCGCCAGAGAAAACACCTTAAGTGAGTTCTCCCTGCTGGTGTAGGAGCCGGCTCCCTGGGGAGGAGAGAGTATGATTTGTGGTCAAGGCGGCCGAGGACAATGAAGAAGCCATAAGCCAAATTAACAATTAAAGTAAGCCAAAGCCCAGGCAGGGCAGGGCAGGGCAGGGCAGCACAGAGATACAAAGGGAGAAGGGAGAAGGTGCAGACAAACAAACTTGGCCCAAAGCACACACAGGAGCAATGGCAGTGGCAGCAACAGCAGCAGCAGCTACGATGAGGAGCGGCATGAGGAGATGAAGAGATGAACTGAAGTGAGTGGCAGGGCAAACAAACAAAGATACTCGTATTCGGGGAACACGAGCGTTACAGGGAGTAGCAGCCACAGCTGGGACTGAAGAACAGCTCCAGCTTCAGCTCTGTCTCCATCTCCTTTTTCATCGGCTTTGCCATTGCCATTTACATCAGCAGCTCGGTCACAACTTTTGCGTTTTGATTGCTGAAGTTTTGTGCGGCGGGAAGGCCATAATAGTTTTTGGGATGCCGACATGACAACACACTCGGCCTCAGTCTTTGGCCTTCGGTATGGAGGTGGCAGGATTGAGGACAGCCTGCAGAGGCAGTAAATTGCATTTAAAATGCCATAAATTAAAAGACAGAACCTGGGCATGAGAACGGGGTTGGGGGGCTGGGGGGATCCGGGCAGCGTATGGTGGGGGTGCCGCGGCTGATGGTGATGGTGACGCAGTTCCCACTTTTCGTGCGATGGCTATTAAAATGCATTAAAATGGTTTTTAATGTCAGCTGCATAGACAGAGTGGAATGGCATCACACACACCCACACGCATACACTTGTCTCTTTCCAGCTAAGGTCACACGCATACACACAAGCACACTTGTAAATGCTTTAAACGATATTTCCGGAACAAAAAATTGATATGAAAACGTGTCGGCAGGCAGCGCTTAGCTGCCACACACACACACACACACACACACACACACACACACACACACACGCTTTGAGCCCTTAGCCCGCCGTTACCCTACCTGACGTTCCCCTCGCCACGGCTCTGCTAATCCAATTTGTCATAATTAAATTACTTTAAGCCACTTTCCAGGACGCCTTTTTCCAGAGTGCCAGCCCCACACAGCAACAACACACTCTGGAAAAGTTTTTGGGGACCGCTTTTAGCGCGTGCATAAAGCTCCATTAAGGGCGGAAGGGGCAGAACAGAAAGTGCAGCCTGCTTTCAGGCGCATTAATATCGAATGAGAAATAATTACAAGTGCTTAACAAAGCGATTTCGATGCTCATTACGGGCCCATTCCCACTCTCTGCCATACCTTCCACCACCAGATATCCACCAGAGAGATAAGCCCTTCACAGACACAGGGCGCACACACACTACGGCGGTAATAGCGCCCTGCTATATGCATACACATAAACAGTTATTAATACGTCAAGCCGTTTACGGGGACTGGCAATAAAATGCAAAAGTGCCTACATCTCCATCTCCCTCTCCCTCTGTCTCTGAGGGATACAGCCAGGGCTGGGCTGGGTCTGGGAGGGGGTTTGTTTTGGATCAGCAACCCCGTGTGTGTCATCTTTCAGAAGGGAAAGGGTTCAATGGATCAATGGATTGCCCTAGAACCCAGGCGAACCTAGAGGCGTCGCAAAATATTCAAGAATGGGCTGCTGTTCGCTCTCGATTAAATTCTGACAAAGAATGCAATTAAATTGAGTTGGCAGCGTATTCAGCGTATTCAGCGTTGGCTTAGTGCGACCGATTGGCTGGAAAATCTCACATAATTGGAAGCGAGCAGAGGCGAGTGAAAAGAATCAATTTAATTGAAATTGCGCATAATAAATGTCCAAATGAACGTGTTTACAAGCCTGACATGGCAAACAAAATGATTTCCGTTGACAAAATTACTCACTTACAATGCAATTTCGATGATATTCACACACACATATATAGGTGCATTTCGGCATATAGTATATAGCCATGCGATTAAAGTGTTATTGGAGCTCGGGCTGCCAGTAAATCATTGACCGAAATTGGTGCGCTTCAGTGGAGAGCCGAACAAAAAAAGGCGTAAATTAATAAATATTAAAATGTCCGGGCATTGCTCGGTCTCTCTCTCTGTTGCTCTCTTTTAGCTGACTTACTCATCTGGCACTTGAAAGCGAACGAAGCGATAAAAAGCACAAGAGAGCAAGAGGAAGATAGAACAAACAAACTTCTGAGCCATTACGCAACAAAATGGTGTTAACAGCGCAGCAAAAATGGCGCCCAACCAGAGCCGACTGAGCGACCAGCGCGATACCCCTTAGCTGGGGCACAGACCAGCCGCCGAGATTCGTGTACGCCCCGCTGCAGGATTGGTAATTTCCAAAGGGTATTCCCATGAA